CAAATTCAGTATATTTTTAAATTTTTACAACATTTTATTTTTATGCATTGGGTCTCTTTCCGATGAATAATGGTTTTGCATCCTTTTTCTTTTTCTGCTGTTTCTTCTCATCTTTATCATCAACCTAAACAATAAGAAAATGAAGAATAAGAGAAAATAAAAATTATAGAAGTAAAAAATTGCTGTGAACAGAATGTAATTACGTTATTATCCACGAATAATAATTATTAAGTTATTAATTATTATCCATGAATAATAATTATTAAGTTATTAATTAATATTAACCCTGACGTGTTGATGTTATGTATTTGTTCAACAGACACGCAACATAGGAATTCAGATGTGTTCTATTAACTACCATACCGATTTATTTAATAAATCAATAAGAATACAGTCTTGAACTTGTCCTCGAGTCTATTAGAGATCAACCTTCCCATATTTTTGATTTATCTCCCTAAATTCTAAAAAACTTTTATTTAATAACTAGAATTAAATAATTGTCGTATTTCCATTTTTAGACAAAAACACTAACAATGTGGGTAAGTAGATCTCAAGTAGACTATACAACAATTCTAATCTGCTTTGAGAATTCTTATCACTTCACTAGATCAATAGATACATTATTAAAATATTATCAAATTCCCATGTAAGTTACATTAAACAGAAAATGTTCGCCCCATAAGTTATACTATACTATAATATACAAGCTAAATACCACTCACTCACTCATTGAATGTTACATCTCAAAAACTTCAAAACATACAAACTTGAAATTTGGAAGTGGTTTCTCTAATGATCTATGCAATAAGAAAGGATTTTCCAATATTTGCATTTTAAAGAGGTGGTTAACTTTTTTTGTTGTTGTAATAAATGGTTGTCATTAGTTACTTGGGTAGATCAGGTACAAGCATTCATCAAATGATCACGTTTATGGCCTCGAATAAAGAAACTATATCTTAAAATAAAATGTATGTGTGTAACTTATATACTCAAAAAATACTTAATTAAATTTGAAGAAAATCTCAAAGATTGTTTTTAAAGATATCAGAAAAATGTAGAGAGGAATGAGTTTAGACCAAATTAAAAATTATACTAAGAGTTAAATCCAATCCACGACATGTGGTTGCTAATCTAGGTTAAACTATTTCACAAAGCTACCCATACTGACACCCATTTGAACTGAGGTATACTAAAACTGAGATACACTCAAAGCAAGATATACCTATTTAGTGTATAACCTGTAGAGATTTGCTACAAAAAAAAAACTGCACACAAGTGAAGCCAGGATATTCAGCTAGTATAATATAATATAAATATCTTTCTGTAAAGTTAAATAGATTAAAAAAATATAACATTAAAACACATCTAAACATTAGTTGTATAGTATTATAGTATTATCTGTTATCACCAATTGCAATTGTTAATAAAGGGGGTGGGAGGGTTACACTAATAACCCTAAGTAAAAGTAAATATTTTGTTAGTATACACTAATATATTGTATATTTACGTTATTAATATCATTTTCGTGTAAATTGATACGATGTTGTTTACGTTCTGATCTTGTTATGTTATGAGTTGCTTTCATTGACGTGGTTTTTGTTTTGATAGTCTTAAAAATTTCCGAGGTTTGTTCCAACTAAAAAAAATAATGTATATCTGTTTTAATTTGGTTAATTTTATATAATGGTCTTTAACATGATTAGAGGTAGATGAGGTGGTATTCTTATACCTAATATAGATTTGACTAAACTCTGGACTAAACCTATAGCCAAAGACGATACTACCAACAAGAACATAATAATCCAGTTCGAGAAGACACTGAATATTGTTGTAAGTGGACGTCGTATCAGCATGTGTTGTCTCCGTCTTACTAATACATTATATATCAAACTGTATGTCTAGTAGTTCCAATTCAGTGTTGTTAGCTTAAATATTAGAGTAGATTGATCTAATAATTTAAATGTAAGAACATAATATTTGTTCTCTAGTTGGTTTTTTAAGATATTTAGATTTTTAAGCGAGTTATGAGTATCTAAAATACTAAAATATTAATATTTGAAAATGCTCATAATTCTCATAAAAATTAAAATATCGTAAAAAACCAATGAGAGAAAGCAGATAAAGTTCTTTATTAATTTAAAATTGATAACAAATCAATTCACTCTAATATTTAAGCTAACAACACAGAATTGGAACTACTAGACATACATTTTGGTATATTATGCGTTAGTGAGGCAGAGACAACATATTTATTTTATAATATATCAAGGGCTTTCGCCCAAATTACAACGTCCACTTAATGCCACAAAAAAAAAATAATAAATACTATACAGGGTGATTCCCCAAGCATGCTCACCCCCATTTCGCCTTTAATGAATTTATTAAAATTCTGATTTTTGGAATTCTTATTACTCAAAGACCATAATTTAAGATTCTTGAAATTTTTGTATTATAAAAGAAGTGTCCTGTGGCAATCCAAATTTCTGTTTTTCAAATGAGAACTACCATTTTTTACGGTAAATTATTAAGTACATAATTTTTTTGAAAATGTTGATGTACCTAATTCAAAATTCACATGAGTAGTTTCTAAGTTATCAAAACGTTTGTACTAAGGATAATGGTCCTTAAAAATAGTTTTACAAAAAAATAAAGTAGATGTAAAATTGTATCTATACTCTGTCCAGCTAAAGAACGCGCCGGTTCTGAGCATGTAGATTGACGACCGAACAATTTCCGATGTCTTGTTTCTCCCTCTCTGGGTGTTCTCAACAAGACGTGCCGCTGGTCGTCAGAGGGCGCCTTCAGTTGTTGGACAGGTATGCAAAACCAGACCAATTTTGGTCGAGCTGTGGCTCATTCTCTCGCTGAATAGAGTATAGTATTTATTAAACTTAGGCCTTTTTTTACAAATTATTAATATTGAAAGATTAATGTTAATGACTAAAATGTTGAAATCGCTATTGCCCCTATTTTTTATAAGCCCACTACCATGGAGCTTTTATCCTTAGAACACAGAGCTAAATAACTTAAAATCTACTCGTACAAATTTTGATTCTGATATCTGATGCATAAAAAATTTCAAAACAATTATCTACTATATAATTTACAGTTGAAAAGGTATGTTCTCATTAGAAAAACAGAAGTTTGTATCTCCAGTCTCCACAGAACACTCCTTAAGTAGTACAAAAAGTTTCAAGAGTTTGAAAATATGGTCTTTACATATATTTAAACATTTTAATAATCAGATTTTCAATATCTGCATTATTGAAGAAAAAAGGAGCATGCTTGATGAATCACCCTATATAACAATTTGATTGGCTACCTATCGCTCAACCACTCTTTTGTTCATGGACATACCACGGGGCATGGAAATATACTTACACCATCCCAAGATTCTTCATACTTTATTGATGGTGCATTTTCTACAATATAATCTGGACGCGTCATGTCTTCTGCCTCATAAATGGCTACATCAATCAATATTCTATCTGGACAATTTTCTTCATGATTCTAAAATTAACATCAAATTTGTATGAGTACCTATTACAAACAATTAAAAAAATCTATGTATATCATGACTATATATTACCTTCAAATCTGTTTCAGGCATTACATGTGATATATTGTAGATACAATGTCTAAAATGAGGTGGTTTATCCGGGCATCTGTTCAAATGCTTGGTTAATGTCTTTTGTGGCATTGTATGAGCTGCATTATACGGGCAATGAAAGTTATGGGTCTCCGGTGCCAAATGTCTACAGTAAAAATAAAAATATTGAAAACAATTTGCTAAAAAAAATTTAATCTTAATAATTAGGTAGCATCAAAAAGATAAAAATTGAATTTGATAATTCAACACCATGGGAGTAGTATTTTATGGGGCTGTCTGTAAAGGCTTTGGGCTGTAACACAGACACTTTTTTTGGCCTATAATCTTTACAATTTGGAAATAAATTATAGAATTTGTTATAAATATTGACATTTCATTGGACTAAAGGTATTTTAGATTCTGAGCGGAGCGAGGAAGCTAGTGGTTTTACCATGGTGTTTATTTTTATTTTTTTATTTTTTCTTCTTTTTATATACTGTATACAAAATTTCTACCAGAAAGAGTGCTTAGATTTCAACATATAGTAAACATGTAAAGGCTACGAGACGTCCAACTTGGGTACATATGTCTATGTGGAAGTCTCAAATGTCTATGAATTCTACAGGTCTAGCAGAATACTTCTATTAGACATATCAAATAATGATTATTATAAATGTATTTTTGTAAATGGCATATTTATGTATAATAGACGTATAATATAAATAGCTGGAGTGTGGCAACTGTAGACTGTAGTACATAATTTGTGGTAGAGGGGCGCTGTATCTTACTATCAATTTTTTATCAATAATTAATAATATAAATTATAACAGCAGATAATAAATAATAATTGACAATATTGTTATGTCTAAAAGTTTTATCTTTTTTCTATTTCTAAGGTCTATACTTTACTCCATACTTAATACTTAATATTATGTTATTATTTAATTTATTATTAGTTTAATGTGGGTATTTTGTTATTTAATTTATTGTCAGAATGTCAGATAACTCTCGTCGTTACTCGTAGTTGTCGCACTACTTTGTACTTTGTGTCTGTATACTGTGGTTTATTTTATTCTGTGAGTGTGTCCTAGCAGTGTACGGTGTACGACATCAAGATCAGCCTCACACCAAAATTGAAATTGATGTTGTAAGTATGCCTAAACATCCTTATAAACATTTTAAACACTTAGGTCGAGCTCAACGTTATAGACGATTAAATGGTATAAATTAACTAAAGGGCCCTGAAATAATAAAAAGTACTGCAACGCCAGCACATGTAGTTAAAAATATTGAACATGAAAATAGCTTAGACGATTTTAATATTAACCCCTATGAAAGTGATATTGAAACTACTTCATCTGAAAGTGAAAATGGATTAGAAAGCAAAATTGAAATGGAGGATAGTAGTAAAATGTGTGAAGAAAATGCTCTTCAATGTAAACTAGCACATTGGGTTTTAATTAACTGTGTCCCTCTTAATGTAGCTACTAAATTACTTAAAATTCTAAGTGAATGTAATCCATCTGATGTGATTAAAATTCCTAAAGATGCGAGAACTCTTATGAAAACCCCTCAAATACCACTTGTGACAAGAGTTGTTGGTGACTTTGGAGAGTATATTCATTTTGGCTTGGAGGACAGTTTGCATAAATCATGGTTAAAATATAACGATGGATTGTTAAAAAATGTAAATAATTGCAATGTACTTATTAATTTTGATGGGGTGCCAGTAAATAAGGGAAATTATGGATGTCTCTGGCCAATATCGTGCTGTGTTGTTCAAATAAAATCTGACTCTTTTATTATGGTAGTAAAGAACCTAACGATACTAATAGTTATCTAATGGAATATGTTCAAAAAGTACAAATATTAAATAATGCAACGAGGAATTTTGATTAATGGAAATTATAAGCCATTCCGAGTCATTGGTTACATCTGTGATGCAACCGGCTAGAGTATTAGTTAAACAAATTAAAGGACATACAGGTTATTTTTCTTGTGAAAAATGTGTGGTTGAAGGTGAACATATAAAAAATAGAATGTGTTCTACCGATTTGAATGCAGCACCACGAAATAATGAACATTTTGCTGCTGGTATTTATAAAGATCACTGTAAAAGTCAATCGCCCTTGCTTCAAATTCCAGGGATACGCATGATCACAGACTTCCCTTTAGAGTATATGCATTTAGTGTGTTTAGGAATTGTGAGAAAAGTTCTTAATTTATGGAAATCTGGTCCAACTTCATTAGGCCGCCCTAAACACACTTGGTAAAATTAATGTTCGATTTTCAGGTATCACAATTAGAAATGTTTCTACCAATTTATGTGAAATAGCTAAATTCGTTCCTTGTGAGTTTTCTAGGAAACATAGGTTACATGAGCTTCCTTATTGGAAAGCAACAGAGTTCAGACTTTTCCTTTTATATCTTATACCAGTTGTTTTGCAAAACGTGGGAATGTCTTTAACTCAAGACATATTTTTACATTTTATGATGTTGCATGTAGCTATGAAATCTTAGCTTCTTCTTTGTACATGCCATCTATGATTAATTATGCTGAAGATTTATTGAAATCATATGTGGAACAATTCAGTGATTTATATGGAGAGGAACACATTTCCTACAATGTCCATAGTCTAATACACTTAGTAGATGATTGTCATGTTTATGGTGTATTAGATAACTTAGTGCTTTTACTTTTGAAAACAGCTTTCAATCATTTAAACGTAAATTAAAAAAAAAAAATTTTATTCTTACTCAACTACATAATCGTGAATTTGAAAATCGTTTAGCAAATGTTGTGGGTATTAATTTAAACAATAAATATTATCCTAAGGTTAGCAAAAAAACTAGTGGAATTGTATTGAATAACATATGTGGGCAACAGTTTAAAAAAGTAGAAACTGAAAAATTTGTTTTAAAAACAGACCCAGCCAATAGTTGCTGCATAAGCTTTGATGGCTCAGTTTAAGTAATCAAATCCATAGTACAGAATGACTCAGAAATCAGTTTAATTTGTTATAAATTTGAAACAGTAACTGATTTGTATTTAAGTCTCATACCATCTAATAGAATGGAACTTATTTGTGTAGAAATTTATCAGTTGAACTGATGGTTATTTCACTTAACTCAATTTCACACTAGGCAATGAAGTTTCCTTTAAATAGTTTAGGTGAATTTGCAGTTACTTCAATTTTACATTAATAAAACTACATTTTATATTGTGAATTATAAATATCAATTATAGTTTTTATGTCTTAGTCATTATGTCAAACGCAAAAGAAAATGTTTTATTTTATATTTGTAAGATCCTGTTTGATAAAAAAAATGCACCTATTGTTGCTATTGTGCCTAACATATGGGTACAAAATTGTAGCAACATGTATTTTTGTTTTTGGCTGCCACAAAAATTTCAAGTAACAAAAATGATAAAGTCGGTTGTTTTACCAGACGAAGAAACATGGTTTCAATATCCTTGCGAAATATTTAAAACATTTGGTTTGTTAATATAAATTATATTTTATTTATCAGTACCTAATGTATTTCAATTATAGGAACATATGAGGAAGCTAGAAGTAAATCTAACTACAACTTTGAAGGTCGAAACTCTGGAAAACATGCTTTCAAAGATTTGATAATGTTTAGCATTCTACTTGGTAAGACAATTTTTAACTAAAAAGTGTTACTTACCCAAATTAAAGTTATCAAATTAATAAATTATGCTATTATTTTAACTTTTTAAGATGTAACTATGATGAAACATCCAACAGGATCCGAAGATGTGATTGGATGCAGAGTTAAAAACTGGTTACGCTTAGCACCAACCCGGGACAAATATAAAAAATAATAATAATAATATTAAGTGGTATCGTAGTAGGTAGGTAGTGTATATAGTGTATTATAATTGATAATTTGTAACTGTTTTTTTATTAATTTGAAAACTTTATATACAAATGTAAATTTAATTAAAGTTTACTGTAAACATCATTAAAAAAGCTTAAAAGCTTTCATTACAACAATTTAATTTTGACTCAACATGTTTAATTGTTATAATTTAGAGTATTATAAATTGTTATAATTTACATATTATATATATTATATTTTATGGGAGTGTGCACTTTTCCAATTATTAATTATTATTTATTTATAAATATTCAAATAAATAAATTTTGTGTAGCTATTAATTTTTGTTTTTAAATATATTAATTATATTTAATGCCTATCCAACTTTAAATATATACATTTACCTCAAAATGTATAATAGTAAATAAGTGGACTTCTTAGTCAATAATGGTAAACATAAAAATTATAGTAAAAGACTACAGACAATATTAATATACAAATTAAATTATATTAATTAGTATATTAATATACTAATTAGATTATATTAATTAGTCTTATACAAATAATAGATATTTTATATACATCTAAAATGCTCGTTTGTATACCAATAAAATACAGTCTTAAATATTTATATTAACAATATACACTTAGACTTTAAATAATTGTCTCATTTAGACTTATTCTGGAACATAAAAAGAACATCCATTATACATAAAAAAATAGATATTTTTATCTAATGAACGATATATATAAGACAGTTGATAGACATTGACATGTTTACTGGGTTATCTTTTTGCAAATTGGATCAAGATGGTACTTTAGAGAGGTCATTTTCTATTTTATCAATAGTTTTTTAATGCCAAGACAAAAACCACCAAAAAATTACAAAAAACCGCTAAAAACTGGATTTTAATTTCTAACGCTTTGTTTATTACCATAGAAACGATTAAAAAATTATAATATTATAATATTATTTCAACTTACATGATATATAATAATTAATGACAATATAAAATATCTAGACTGACAAACTGCCTCTGCTCAGAATCGTTTTTCTTATACAATGATAGAAAATCATTGAATTCAAGTTTAATACAATCCATTAGGTATACAATGACCCACTTGTAACCTACTGTGCAGCAGAGCGACATCCACTTACCCACTTTTTAAAGTTTTAATATTTTGTTATTCATCAATATAAACACAAATATTTCTATTAGTAAATTCAAAAAAGTAAAAAGAAAGAGTAAACACATTTAAGTAATTACTGGGTTTGTTCTATAACTGGGAATGAATGTTCTGCTTCAATTAATTATGATAATACATTAACCAAAAAAGCTTATTTTGAATACTGCAGAATAAATGCATGGTTTAAAATAATAAATTTTATTGTATTATTAATGGCCTGAAAAATAGATTTTTTGCAGAAAGTCCGAGTATGGGTGTAGGTGTTGACCATTTAGTTTAACTAAAATATGGAGAAAATATTGAGTTTATTAAAAGCATAAAGTACCCAAGAATTTTAAAACTATATTAGGATTAAAAACAAATTCTGATTACCTACTACTTTTTTAAACTAATTTTAATTTTCTAAAAAATATTAAATATAAGTGTAGAATACCTAAGGGGCTATAATGCTGGGTCATAAAAGCTTTGAAATTTATGAGACCACAACCTATTGTCAAAACAATATTTGTTCAAATTTTTCTTTTTAAACTTTTGACCGCAATATTGACAATAAGTCATAAGTCATAACTTTTACATTCTTCCTCATGTGAAAGATCATTTACAGTAGAGGCACAACGACCAGTTATATGTCCGTAAACTTATCAATATAATAAATTTATTAGGTAGGTACAAAAGATTCAGAAAATGTATCAAATATTTTTGCTGAAAAATACAGACGTCCAAATTTAATAAATTATAAAATACAATTTTAGGTTAACAATGAGTAAAATACTAATTGTTTTTTCAAGAAAATGTTCTCTTTCACAATTTCAATTAAATCAAGTAGAGTATTTCATAGTATTTCAAAATTTTTTCTTGCTACTATTTTACTTTTGTAGACCATTTTTAAATGGAAAATAGAGCTGTTGACAACCATAGAAAATATCAACATCTGAAACCTGCATGTACTTATCTATTGTCTCTGTCGAACGTACAACATGAGCCATAAGTATTCAGAAGAACTAATTTGTGTTGTTAGTTTTAATAATATAGAGAATTATTAATCTATTATAAAATTTAAAGGTAAGAATATTATCTATGGACTATTGTCCGCTATTATTTAAATATTAAACTCTCATTAAAATTGTAATAGCTTACATAGTGTTATCTCACTTTAAAATTAAAATATCAATAAAAGCATGTACTTGATAATATTCTTACCTTTAAGTTTCATAATGGTTAATTTCACTTTAACATGAAAGCTAACACAAAATTAGTTTGAATCAAAGCAAATGTATTATGTCGTATGTTCGTAAGATGGAAACAGCTCATGCGAGTAAGGCGTCTTCTTAATATTATAATGGTGTAGTCATAATTTTGCGGACAGATTTAATTTAATTAATTTTAATGGTTCCAAAATAGTAAGTAAAACCAAGCAAGGATTAAACACAGCTGTCAATTGTATGAAAATGTTATTACATTTTTACCATGATGTGTATGTAATGGAACAACCAAATTTTGTTCGCACGAAAAATTTAAAAAAACTTCGGGTTGAACATATTGGTACCTATTTCAATCTACAACAATGTATATAGAATTGTAATGCTTATAACATAAGTAATTAGGTAGTTACTTACAATAATTCCATCGTGATTCGTGCTGAATGATGAATGCCCGAAGTTTAAAACAATGTCGGTCCAAAATCAATAATCAAAATGCACTCCACATCACTATCACATAGTACAGAGCGAGAGCGCTTGGAGCCAAATACGATGACGAAAAGAACAACGAACGTTATACAACAACAAAAAAGCGCCAAGCGCCGATTAGTGATTACTGATTAGTGAACACCAACCATAGTAATATCATAATATACACGGACGTACACAACAACACTATAACCATTATTGTTCCATACTATAATTACCACATTTTTGGTACAACTTGTATTACATGTTGTACCCACTGTTTTGCAATATACAGTAACTCTCACCGCCCGGCCGGTCGAGCCACGTCCATGAATGCCTGTGGAACATTCTTTGATTGTATAAATCACGAACCAAGATAATATTATAGTTTATTATCTTATTATAGTATATACCTATATATCTTATGATTAATAAATAATCCCGGGAACCACGGTTTTATTAATAGTTTATCATTTATCATTTTATTTTTATACACTTCTGTGTTGACGTTGAATGTTTCGTATTCATAAGCGTGCGCAGGTCTTCTTGGCAGGGGAGGCAATACCTTTGCTAAGGAGGTCCAGACTTCAAACCCCTCCCCTATATATTTTTTTCACATTAATAAATAAATCCTCACACAAAATCAAGTATATGATTATATTAAACCATGGTATTATTCTATACGGTTAAGAGTTAGGTTACACATAAAATTACCAAAATAGTTTTAAATAAATCCTTTTTAATAATATGTATCTTTAATGAATAGATAACGATAAAGACCACATACCTAATAGAACATAGAATACATAATAAGAAAAAAAAACAAAAAAGCATAATTTGAACAACTTTTAAAATAGGTAATAATGTAGTAGGTATGTTTTATTAAAGTTCCATACGTCCGACGTCGTTTGGAAGTAGGGTCTAATGTTTTAAAAATGTCTATTACTTCTTCATAATCTACATTATAAGCTTGTTCATAAGATATTGGTATATTTTAAATCTTGGTAGGTATTAATGTCAATAATGTGTTATGTATAATAATATAATATAAGATCTCGGGGGAGCGGAAAAATCTCGCAGCGGAGGCAGCTGCCTCCCCTGCCTCCCCCGTGCGCACGCTTATGTTCGTATTGCATAAAATAATAGAGTATCAATATTATGTAGCTCCACGCCCGTAATAAACTATAAAGTAATATTGTGTTTCCAAATTTCCAATGCGATCTCATGCGTATAAATGTATATTAATGTATATTGTATAATATAGCATATTAGCATGGTTAATTTTAGCCATGGTATAATATACTATTATAGCAATTTACTAATTATTTATTATTATACTGTTGCGCGTAACGAAATATAGTTATTGTTTGCCTAAATTTAATATGTAGGTAACAATACATCAGTGTTGGGTAGTAACATAACGCAATTACTTTTTCAGTAACGCAGCAGTAATTTAATTACATTTTGTCCTTTTAATTAAAGAAAAATCAATTGCAACAAAATTATTTTTGAAAAGTAATTTCTTTGAAGTGACGCATTAACGCGTTATTACTTATTTTCCCGTTATTAAAATATAGTTTGAATGTATTACAAAAACAAGCCTATAGGATATCCCAGAAAAATTAAAAATCAATTATATTTATTTTTTATTCCGATAATAATTAACAATATTTTTAAACGGGAGATGGTAAACTGCGGCAAAATTAACCTTTTTCTAAAAGTTGATATGTAAACTGCTGCAAAAAAAACTTTTACATTATACAAACTGCGAAAAACCGATAAGATACATTATACAAACTGCGGAATTGTTTTTATATACCTTCTTTATGTACTACCTTATAATATAGCATTCGACAGTGGTGTATGAGGGGGATTACTATTAAAATTTAATAAAATATTCATGCTGTAATATATTTATTTTTTTATCAGCTTTATCATCAAATGTATCCCTATTTGATAACCGTGTGAAGCGCGTTTCATTATATAAGATAGTTCGCGCCAGCCTGCTGGTATCAGCTATAGTGGTGTAAGAATAGCATACATAATATATTAGAACCCGTAGATATCCACTAATTTAAATTTAAAAATAATTAATAATGTTTTATTTTGTATGAATATTGAATAGTGTATATAGTTTTTTAAATGCATT